GGGGGGGGGGACGAAGAAGAAGAAAAAAAGATACAAAGAGTCCCCAGGATCGTACATACTTATAGTGGCATTTGAGACTAGTAGCCTCGGCTAAGGGATGGAACAGCAGAGGGGATGCTGGAAGGGCAGGAGACCAGTCGAGGATGGTACGGGGGGTGGCAGGGGGCAGCTGGGGATTGAAAAGCAATTTCCCCGTCAGGGGCGGCGGGGTGTGGGGTAGGCTTTATATTAATGATCCAGATATATTATCGGACGTGACCGAAATTGCTGTCAAAAAACTCGGATATTGGATCGAAGAAGATTGCGAGATGCCCGCGAACCCTCCGAACTCCCTTTGGGGACCTTCGTGAGATATCTCGTAGGAATGCAATTTTAAGGAAACAATTAATTAATCGATAATCAAATATTATACCTTGCCGACAGTCTTTTGCGGACCCACAGGTGTTCTCTGTGTAGGTGTGTACATATATATTTATATGTAATAATAATAACAGTCAATCCACTTCTCAAGGCAGAAACTATTGAAAAAAATAATTCTAGACTCGTTTCTTATCGAATACTCTGATTCTAAATGGGAGGGTTGACAATCACGCGAGTTTTTATCGAGCGTTTCCTATGCGGGTTCGTTAAGTAGCTACTATACGTATCCAGGCCCGTCCGATTAAATGAGGCCACCCGTTTATGCAGAATTATGATAAGGTCGATCCGGTTTTACACGTGGATAATTTAAGCGGCATTATATACTCTCATTCTCATATCGTTCCTTTTTCCTTTTTTCCCCCCTCGTCTACGTATTATTATAATTACTAATCCTGACCTTTCCGTATGGTTACAGCCGATGTCCTGCCGGTGGCGCTGAGAATCGCCACCAGTCACCAGCCAAAACGTGAGTCTCGCCTTTTGAATTATTATTAATTATTTAATAATTATTATACGTACTCCTCGATATCCGCACCCCGTAATCAAATTGTTTTACGTCCTTTTTAACCCTTCAAGCATCCGTGGGTTTATATTTCTTAGTCGTACTGTACCCATATACAAAGCGTCTAGGTACAAGTCCAAGCGGGGTACTAGTCAAGTCTCAAAGACCAATTTCCGCTGGCCTCTATTTACATAGTTAGGTATACCAAGCGGATAACAGCGGCTAGGCGATGAGGAGGGTGGAGGTGCGTGTATGCGCGAGGAGGTTGGGAACACGAGACCTCGTGGCGGTAGCAGCGGCGGTCGAGGGGCAGAGAGGTTAAGGTAGCCGGCCGAGTATAGCGAGGTCCTAACGAAATTTCCATATCTCGGTAATTGTAATGCACATTCATTACGCGCCGACGGGTTCAGAATTAACATTCAGCAGGTCTGCCCCATATTTATATTTATACTTTGTAATTTACGCGAGTACAGGTCGCGCACTGGGACCAACAGTCGGCGAAACGGGCCCTGATATCATTTGAGGATGTAGAATCGAGTGGGTCTCTGTAAATGCATTACTTTGAATTTTACTTCAATTTTATATTACAATGGAATGCCTATCGAATAACGTTTCTAGTTTGCGTCCTTCTCGTGCACTGTGTGACTGGTCTGACGGCTGCAAAAGCAGCCACTGGCAGAATAGCTCCATCTTCGTCATACGTTTACCGGGGACACATAGGTGGGCTGTATATAGTAGCCAGCACGATCGTCTTCTCCTCTCTCGCTTCGCACACTATACACATACTTGATCAGTACGTTCAACCCTGGAGCTCCTGATTGCGTTGAATACGGCCCACACTATGCCCACGCTGATTGACACTTGTTCCTGTCTGGAAAAGACAGTGACGTACATAGGCGGTACCCTTATGCACGCTGGGTATATGTTCGTACCGTGTACATCCTTCGATCCTGGGTGACGATTTCAAGTTTTCTGGGCACCGGGTATATCTGGCGATAATAAGAAGAAAAAAAATCAAGGTACAATATATCAAAGGGGAAATAAGGTTTGAAGGAAAAACAAATTCCAGGTACGAGGACCCTTTGAAATTCTTGATCCACGGTACATCGGGGCTTCGGTTGCTCTCGGTACGGGGTTGCTCGGGGTGCTCGTTGCCTCGTCGGGAATCGAACACGGCACCACGTCGGAGCGTGAGCCGCCACAGGGCTGGAATCGGCCAGGGATGCGGTGAGGGTTGGCGAGGGTGGCGAAGTCGTGGTAGCTAGGTGCCAGGAGTAGGAGAGTGGGGGGACTGGCTTGGCGGCGTCGGTGGCTCACGGGAGGGGTAAAGGCACGGGTTTAGGTCGAAGGGAGGGGGTTGGAAACTGTAAGGGGGCAGGAGGGACGGGGGGCTGTACTTAGTTAGCGGACAATGCGGCCTCTAATGAACAGCCAGGGGCGCCCGCCAGACCAGCTACTGGAGCACGCCATCCAGAACTGAGACAGACAGATTACGTTACATTGCGTTACATTGCGTTGCGTTGCCTCGCGTTACGACGCATTAGTGACGTCGAGTGGCACACTCGGATCTCTTCTCTGTATTACGTATAATCTAAGCGCTCGTGGACGCGTCACTTTGCATACATGGAAATACATTAACGCCGAAGACGATTCCTTTTTCTACCTGAGGCAGACGTGCTTTTTTTTCTATTTATTTTTTTTGTATTTCACGCAACGCCGCGGAAATGCTCTCTCGAACGAGAGAGAGAGAGAGTGGGAGAGAGAGGGAGAGAGAGGGAGAGGAAGAGAGTATGGAGTACTTATACAGGTAGGCAAGTATTTACTCAGTGAAAATGATTTTTAGGTTAGGGGAATGACTTTAATGTATATCGTGGTGGGTGGGGGG